AAACCACGCAAATCTAAAACTTTTTGAATTCAAGCATTTTTTGAGAAAACTGCAACATTTCCTTATCGATGGTTCACTTTCTAAAAAGGCCATTTTCTACAGACCCCCCCTTGAATTTAAAGCTGGATCCGCCCCTAGTAAGATCACATTAAACCAATGGATTACTGAACATCGGTACAAATTGAGCAGGAGTTATTTAACCGAATACGAGAAGCTGCTCGAGAAGAGTGCATCATAAGGTGATACATAGGCACTTGTTTGGAGTTACAGACTCAAATGTATGTTAATGTAAAAAAATATAATTCGAGGTTATGAGTTTCGAAATAGGTAGCGTCATTCAACGAATCCTGTTGAGTTTACCGTTTATCCTTATCTATCTTATTGCCACTTTCTCTATTTATCCATGGTTACCGGAGTTTTAAATAATTACGAACCAACAGGTATTTACATAATGTTAATTAGGCAGATTACCTTGAAAAACATTGTTGCCGTTTTTCTAATAAGTTTTTGCAAATTTATCAGTTTTTAATAACAATTTTTTTTTTACTATTTTTCTGTACCCCTAAAACACCGCCAGAAAACACCTCCAGAAGAATGACGCCAATTTTGAATCACCCTCTATGCATCTGGCGTTTACATAAAGTGTGAAAATGCAAAATATTCTTGGCAAAGAAGTTGGATATCCAGTCTTCGAACCTTCATAACTTTCCAGTTTTCTAACCGAGTTTAGTTTTCTCAATCGTCATTTTTTGGGAACATCGATGCAGTTTTAATTTGTTTAAAGAAAGTGCGATTTTCGTGTCTGAAAAGGCTTGTTTGGCACTGAAATCCATCTCAACTTTCCCTAAAGTGTAAAATAGAAATTTTTCTGCTCTACGTTCAAATCGTAATAAATCTTACGTTTCTTAGCGGATGTAAATTGCATAAAAAGTCGGTTTTACAGAAGATTGTGCTCTTTACAACCCAGTCTTAATGATTCAAATAGAGCCAGGATTTAGAGAGTTATTATAATTAAGAGAAAAACGTCCACAGCTTGATTTTGCTTTTGCTGATTTTCTCAAATTTCCACCTGAGGCCAGTATTAAGAGAAATTCTTACTAAAACAAAATGCCATGAAACTCAAATCAATTTTTCATCAAAAATCCTTCAAAAGCTGTTCAGAACACATTTTGAGGAACACAGACAAAAAGTTTTTAAAATGTCATTTTGACAGTTGGAAAAATTACTAGAAAAAACCGACAGAAAGTGTCACTTTTGAACACATTCAACAGGTGAATAATTTGACAGGTTCGCGCAATGTTGTCAATATCTCCCAGAATTCCACCTAATTTGTGTTATTTCATTTTATATAAATTCCACCAACTTATGCAAATACCACCCATTGAATGAATCAGCAACGTATTCAAAATAATGGAATTTTTCCTCTTTTTTCCACTAATTTTGCAACTGAGATTTTGAGTTTCACTCTTTCATCTCTCATCATTCAATTTTGCTGAGAAACGGATAGAGTAGGGTAGAAAAACATTTCATAAAAGTTGTTGGTAATAAAGAAAGAAACCCAAGCAAAAACAATAAACAGGGTGCTCCATAAAATGTCACTCATCTTAAGCGGCTGTAGACGCGTAGGGCAAATGCGACTAAAAAAATAACAACTTTGAATTTTGGCTGAAAGCGCTGAAAGCTTGGACTTTCTTCCGGATGAACAAAAAGCGTGGGCGGAAGTTGCGCCATTCAAATTTACTATGCAAATATGCAATGATAAGATTGATGATGTCGTCAACCATGAATCGGCGAAACGAAATTTCGACACAAGCCTTTAATCGCTTTGATATCATTGAATTCTTAGAAGCGCGGCTCGATTTTTGAGTTCACTAGAAAATGAAGCGAAAAACAATTATTTGGCTGACTGATTTACTGGCTCACCATTATTTGTTGTCGAAGAGTCTTTGTCACCATGAAGATCTGCGAAAAATTGCATGCAACCTGCACTGTTTCAAAGAACGCCTACTTACCCAAACACCGCCTTCCTGCGAGCTTTGAACAGCTGAAATCAGAAATAGCAATTGCCAGTTTACAAAAACCCAGTTTAAAAAAATGTACGCACTTTGAATCGGGCACTTGGGGATCACGGAGATTCTGGTCCGGACAGGAGTAGCGCTCGACCCCACATAACAGCCACCAGAACAAGAACTTGCAACTTTCCGACAAGATTTCCCGTAAGAAGACGTTCGACCTTGATTTAGCTGCAAACATTCATCCAGTCGGCATCAGAAGTGTAATCGCTGTTTCCGTTTACCTGCCACTGTTGGTGTAGTGCGAACTGTTGAGTGTAAAGCGAAGTTTGTCGACTGGCCGACTAATTGGGCCCTGAAGGCAACAGAGCCGCTAGAAAATTCGATTTTTTTGTCTAATCTAGTATAGAAAGTGTTTTGTAGCACTCACTTAGTGTGTCCAGAGTAGGGATCACACGTGCTTCCCATCCCATTGGTTGCAAGCTGATGAGCGTCTGCTTGTAGTTGCTCACTTGCCAAGACGAAGAGCTGAACATCATTGAGACGCTTGAAGCTTTATAATGAGCTGAACATGAACTTACCAAAAAGAACCCAAGTGCGATCACCATCGATTTTGATTTCGTTGGTGCCCAGTTAATTAAGTTATTTGAGCCGATTTGATGAGCGAACTGCGATTTTTGCCGGGTTTGTGTCGACGTAAACCCTAGGCAAATATAATTTCACTGATTTGAAAGGCTTAACTATTTACGACACTGATTTAGCAACAATTTTGATAAGGCTAAGGCGGCTTGTTGCCCAAAAGGAACTTTTGGTAAAGCCCCAATTATTAAAGCCTCACCGAAATCTCCATATCTAGTTTAAAACGGAGCGGTTTTTAATAGGAAAAACAGGGGCGCCACATCTGATTCTGACGCGGCAGGGCCCTCATTAATCAAATTTCGAATCCCTGGCCAAGTTCGGATGCATCGCCCGAAATTAGGGAGAAAGGTGATGTTAATTAATTACTGATTTATAACAGTAAAAAACCGTGTTTCTGAAATACGTACGGCGCCCCACGGCAAACTTTTACCAAACTTTTTAATTATTAATTGCACAAAGTTTAATTACAGCCCCGTGTACAAACAACAACCTAATATCTCATTTATTCACCCAGTTAATAGCGGCGTTGTTTATGGGGAAATTAATTTAATTGGCTTGTAAACTGATCAAAGAATGTCCACCAAAGTCGATTAGACGCAACTGCGGAGTCTGATCGCCCTTAATTGCTTTGTAACTAAGAATTAACGAAAGAGATTCGGACAAATGTAATTACACTTTCAATTGTGTTACGATGTGCCCGGATCGCGTACCGAAATTAAATTTGCTTTGGATGAGACCCGTTTTTTAAAACCCCCAGTTGTACTTATAGCATGTCTGTATATTAAAATAAAAGTATTCACAATTGAATAACTCAACATGCAAACTATAAATGCATTAAATTGTCTTCAGTCCATCCACAAAATGGTAGGGAATACCATCTACGAATCGCACGTGGGAGAATAAGTGCCAATGCGCCTACATGATCACTTTATAGCACTTATCAGCTAGACCGTACAATATAATTGTTGGACTGTCGTTTTTCAGGCGAATCTTCCGAATTTCGTCGCAAATGTCCTTCACACACTGTTTGTGCTTCTGGCTCCTAAAATTCACCAAAATCCAGCTATTGCCCCTCTCAAAATGGCCCAAAAACACTTACTTGGAGGTCAAGTCTTGCACAGATCTGTTGAACTGATCCTCACTATCGAAGTCGACGGATGAGGACAATTCACTGACGAACTTCGAGTCGAGATTTACGACGATCACAGTCGGCACTCCGGAGAGTTTTCGGAAAACTCTGTCAAGCTGAGTTCGTACCTGAAGCAAAAAAACGTGTGAATCGACTTGGCAGTGAAATCGGCGTCGATTTTCCTGAGCAACTCACTTGATTCTCGTATCGCTTGCGCGAATTCGAGGTAAATTTATCCGAAGTAATCCACACAATCTCTGCATCTAAGTCATTTTTCTCACTGTAGCTGGATTTGCTCTCAGATCGAATCAGCGTGGCCGATGGCTGGCCGTTTTCGCCAATGTTTTCGACGCGAATTCTCAAGATTCGCTGCATGCTCTCCACAATAGAGGAAATTGGCACTTCTTTATCATTAAAACGTCTAGGCGAGAAATTTATTAGTTACTTCTTCTGACAGTCTGAGTTGGCGCAGTGCTACGCCAATGGGTTGGTGCGCCAACCCAACGCAACGGCGCAGCAACTCCGCAGCAACTCCGCAGCAACTCCGCCGCAGTTCCGCTGCTGGGAAAATGTTGATGACTTTTTTTACTTGTTTCCAGATTTATTTTAAGGGCCATTTATTAATGATGTTTTTAACATTTCTTCAAAATTTCAGAATTTTCCAGTTTTTGGTAAGCTACTCTTTTTCTAAATGCTCAATTTTCACGATTGTTCAAAGAAAAGTCGTCGTCTGTACAGTTTGGTCTTCTTTATCGTCGTTTTCGCACACCCGTTTTACCTTTGAATTTGGGACAAAATCGAAGCAAAGTTCTCGTGTTTTTTTCGACAAATATTACGTTTTCTCAAAAAACGGCCAGGGAAAGCATAAACACATAATCAATGTTTGGAAAACTCGTCACCCTCAACACTCAGAATATTTTTTAAGTTTCTTCAAAATCTCCGGATTTTCCCGTTTTAGACCAAATAGTTTCAAGCAATTTCTTGACGGCTTCTTGTGTTAGTGTTAAAATTCCGTCATCGGCAATCACTTATAACTCACTAACCAATGAGTTAAAACTCATCGACTCAGAGAGCGGCAACAACTCAAAAGCGCAACTCAACACAGTGCTATCCAGGCCTAGTCGCTACCAATCAAGTGAACTTACGTTTGTCCTTTAGAGCTCTTGTCCCAATACCGGACCTTAACAATGCTCTGATTATCGTCCCGGAAAATTATGGCACGTGCAAAGTTCAATTCGAAAAGCTGATATTCAAGCGCGTTTTCGTTAGGAGCCTCAATGAGCGAGAAACTACATCCGGCTTCCTGCAAGTTTCTTACAACCTGAAATCAAACAAAATTGCGCCAAAATGATTAGGGACTCACACACACACAGACCCAAAGCATATACCTTAATCTTTTCCTTAAAGTTACTATTGGGCTTCTGGCCCACTGAGCAAACTGCGATATTCAGGGAGTCTGATCTTATGGGCACTTCTTCAACGTCCTGTTTCAAAATCGCATGCACCAAAATGTCCAACGATATCGAGATGCCTAAAGAACAAAAACCATAAATAAGCAGCTTTGTGAATCTCCTGGTGGAGTTTTCTGCGCATTTGTATAACACTCCACTTACCAACCGCGGACTGCTGGACATCCTTCCCAGCCATGTTGATCTGTTCCATAAGATTTCGGTAATATTGAATCATGGCGTCGTAACGGCCGCCGGCCGCTAATATTTCTTTGCCTTTCTGATTCCGCTTCTTCTGGATCTCGTAGACGCATTGAAAAATCATTCCCGAATGTTGGTGGATGTTGTAAATCAATCCGGGCACGATTTGAAATTCAAACTAGAACAGATCAGTTGAACATCGAACTCAATGATCAAGGCTCAAATCGGCTACCTTCACCCCAAAACATTCGGCATACTCAACGATTATCTTCAATTCGTGCAGCGCCGTCTTAGCCAAATCGGCGGCCTTCCGATTCGATCGGTTCTTGGTGACCATTTGCAAGCAGCTGGCGGCCTTGCTGGGTTCGAATTCCGCACAGAGTAAGTAACTAAGCGAATTGACCATCGGTTCCGAGAGGCCTGCTTGTGTGAGGAAGTTAGACAACAGTAAATTGAAATCGCGGCTCTTCTAAACAACAGACACATCATACGTAAGATGGCAGGACAATAAGCAGTGTTAATAAGCACCTTGAGTTTTCGCATTTGGTCGAGAACTTCCTGTTCTCTATCTTTCAGATCGAAGTGCAGCAGAAGCGCCTCGAACAACAACGTGTGATTCAGTTGGATCAGAAACGGCTGCGTTCGCTCTCCGGGCAATTCGCTGATTATTTGATAGGCGATGTACAGAATTTCGGCATCGGCAATGTGACTACCTGGAAGAGCACATGTTGCAGTGAGGATAAGGAAAGGGTGCAAACAGACATGCCTGGACTGGCTGTTACAATGTCGAAAGCGCCCTCGTAAAACTCCCTGGGCAGGAAACCGAACATCTTCTTCTCCTTGAAAACCTTCTCTACGGAGTATCGCCTCAAGCAGTTGATGTGATTCAGGGCCACATATCGAGCAAATGACACTCTGAAAAATGCCTGGTTGTTCTCTTACAAAACTCCATATTCGAAGGTCTCACCTAAGGTCATACGGAAGGGACACAATGTTTCCAAAATGCGCCATCAGATTAACGCACGAATCCACGCTCTCATTATATTTGCACTTTGGCATCAGCAGTGGAGTGGACAATTCCTGTCCTCCATGCTGTTTAAAAACTTTGACGCAAGTGGCTCGTACGTGATCATACAAATGCGCCAATCGCACCGCTATGGGTATGGATGGACCTCGGTCGTAAGTGATGTCTTGTGCCGGGCTCAAAGACTGCTTAAAACATGCGGAGATGAGGTATCTGTAACCTAATGAAGCCTTCAAGCCCATCGAACGCCGGCAAACTAGCCAACCGACCTTTCGTTTGAGGGTTACTGAGCGTGTATCTCACTACTTGCTGCATTCGTTGTTCCACCAGCACTGGAGGCGGCATATGCTTCGACTGCAACAATTCTTGCGAGGATGGCCGTTGCGCAATGTCGTGGTTGAGAAGTAAACTGCAGAGAGCACAATGAGATATTATTATAAACCCCCGATTGAAAATACAGAAATTTCAAAGTCTTACCGGACCAAAGTGTGCGCTCGTTCATTACTCTCCGGAAATCCATCGGGAAACACAATGTCTTTCGTTCTGAGTGCGTTGAGGACGACGATTCGCTCCATTCTCGTTTCGAACGGTTTGTGACACATTTCGAATAAAATAATACCTAAACTATAAATATCAACCTTTTCGTTGTAAAGTGTTTTAAGAGTGGAATTAATCTCAGGCGCCGCATACATAGCAGTCCCAACATTCCCAGTCTTGCCCTCTTCAGTTAAGTCTTCCTTCAAACTTTCGGCGAGGTTTTCCGCAATTTCTGAGGAAATTTTAACAAACCAACGTTTGAGTCATCAAAATACAACGGGATACGTACCAGGCGTCACTTCTGGTTTACTTTTAATGCCAATTGAAGTCGCCAGACCAAAATCCCCAATTTTAACACGATCAAAAGAGTCCAGAAAAACGTTATCCGGCTTTAAGTCTCGATGAATGATGTTTTGCATGTGGATATAGGCCAGGCCTGCAAAACGTGAAATCAAATTTCGCTTTCCAATGGACTCCAAATGCTCACCTTCCACTATCTCCCGGAAAAATCTCCAAACTCTGTCCGGGTTCTTATATATGTCCGCGTCAATAGCCGTTCTCAGTGTGCTTCTTTCACAAAATTCCATCTGTATGTACAGATACTCCATCTGTCTTAGGTGTTCTTTGGGAGCTTCGGACTCACGAGACTTATCCAGTGGCTTGGAGTCGACCGATTCCGGTTGCTTTGATGAGAGCGACTTCCCTGCCGAGCCCGCTTCAAATATAATGCTATCCGAGCCGGAATCCGCGATAAATCGCCTGTGAATGTAGAAGAAAATGAAGCGTAATTGGGAGTTTAGATACTGGTTGGAATGCCAACACTCACTTGTCCGACGTTTCATCATCATCATCATCATCATCATCTTCTTCTTCACTGGACTCGTCTTCAGACGATTCGCCGTAAGTCGGCTGAGATTTGCTGTTGAATGTTATTACCGATATTGCCGCTGGGGGGGCCAGTTCCTCTACGCAACCATTTGAAGTGAACTAAAAAAAGGTCGAGCTTAGCTCGACTGAAAGCTGAATAAATTTGAAACAATACCTCATTGTTCCGGCCCACTTTTAAGGACTGTTTTGGGTCCGATGCGTGAGTAGCAGTCGTAAGCCCACTGCTACCAGAATCGCCCGTCGCATCGTCTTTAATCGTCGTAGTGTCGGTCCAGGAATAGAAGTAGCGGACAATGTTCTCGTGATTGAGCTTCGACAGTAGCGTGACTTCGCGCAGAATTTTCTTCTTGTTCAGTGCTTTGCTGCTGCGGTCCAGTTTTATTTTCTTGATGGCGTAGAATCGCCGATCCAGCTTGTTCCAAGCCTGCAACATTTGACGATCAAGCATTTGGCGGAGAAGCGCCCCATTATGCCCTGCCCACCTTTAAAACTTTCCCGAACGCACCAGAACCGATAGTGTTCAAGATTAAAAACTCGCGCTGAATCCAGGGCAGGCTGTTGTTTGAAGAAACCGGCACCGGTTGATCGCTAATTTCGGGTGGGGGCGTGTCGGGCAGATCTAGATATTCATCGAAGATGTTGGGCGTGTGGAGGAATGAATGGTCCAGCAGTTGTTTGGCAGTGAATCGCTCTTTATCGTCTTTGTTTAAACAGCTGAAACGTCAAGCAAGTTCGGATTAGATTCCAGTTTATCAGCGGCAAAGGACTCACTTATATAGAAACTCGAACAAGTCGCTGGGCAATGAAGTGGGGATTTCTACATTCGCTTCAGGAACATCTTTCTGCCCTAATAGCGATAAAATCATTCTTCCAAAATCGTAAATGTCTCTCTTCTTGCTATAGTTTTTTTGGGTTGCTGTGACCAAGTCTGATAGCCGTTTGTGGATGCCATAGTTGGAGAGTTTCACTTCGCCTACATTTAATTACAGTGTCACTAACAGTTTCTCGAGAGATTATTTTTGCTACCTCTTTCACTGATGGTTACGCATGTGTATTTGAGGCCCTTGTGCGGCACGTTGATGCGGTGAAGATAATCGAGAGCTGACAAAACGTCTTGAGCGAGGTGCCTCAACAAGTCCCAATCGATTTTGCGGTTCTGACCCAAAAAGAGTAAAGAACAGTCTGAACCTTCAATGAAAAATGAGCTTAAACATTCCGAATTGCACAAAAACGCTGGTTAATGATGGTCCCATTTAGGAAATTCACAAATAAATACCAAAAGTTCGACCCCAATAATTTTTATGGCTGCGCGACTTAACGACACTGTAATCGTCGAATGTGCCCCAAATATTTACATGTCCCACTTCAGTTTTCCTGTTCTAACTGATATTATGTTTGTTTATATTAGGTAAACCATTAATTGCGCTGTTTCAAGGAAAAAGTTACTACGATTGAGCCTTGCCTAAAACAAACTCCTTAAGTACATAGACCACAACTTGGTCGCCTACGGAATCGTGCTTCATGCCCAAATAGTTGACCAAGTTTGGGTGTCGCAATTTGGCCATATAATAATTGAGCTCTTGCTCGATGCTAGCGATGTTCTTCATCAACTGGCTCACTTCCTGCTTCTTCGGTTTTAAGGTCCACTCGGCCACCTCTAGCATTTCACCTGTTTTCGCGTCCAGTGCCGAATAGATCACGCTTGAAGTATCAATATGCTCTGAAATCGGTGATTTCCAATAAAAAATAATACTCCTCATATAAATAATTACGTACTTATACAGCGTCCTCTATGCACCTGCCTGCCATTAAAGTCCAGCGAAACCATTGCTTTATGATTGCAGGGCAATTCATCGCTCGGTTTTGAGCCTCCAGTTAAGCGCCTGAAAACAAAGTGGGTTCAATATATTGCATGGCTTTGCTGCCAAGTACCTACCTGGCAACGTCTGGCGCGTTCTCTGAATTTTCTCTGGATCGTCTCCAATCTCGCGCCTCAGCTTCAATCATTTTTCGACGCTCTTGCACTTGTTTCAGGTAAATTTCTTTCTGAAAAAGTTGATGAAACTAATTACAACTGCACCAACAGCAGGCTAATTTCACCTGTCGATTGGCTTCCAGTTGCTTTTGTAATTCGATTTCCTGGACTTTTTGTCGCTGGGTCTGCTCCATTTCGTGATAGAAACTGATCATTCCTGGGTTATTATGGATGCGTAAGAATTCCCGCACTTGTTCGCACAGCTTGTAAATGACTTCTTCGCCTTTATTGAGTGTGGCGGTTTCTTCCAAGTCCTTTTGCAGCTCCTTCAGGAGAGTGTGAGCGATACCCTTCGAATTTTCTAACCGTATAATCGGCTCACTGACAAATAGGAAAGCCACTTAGTATAAAAAGCATGTTCAAATTGCAAAAAAAAGCAAAATTGGAATTCGTACTTTCTGGGGTATGAGGAAGAGCAAATGACATGCAGGTCCACCTGAACATGAACCTCGCCATTGTCTGAGGCGCCCAGCTGTGGGGTGAGCGAAATGGACAGATTCAGCGGGCAAAATGTCGTTTTCCAAGCCGGTTTTTGCCTGAGGTCTTTCAGCTGGTTCATGTAGATGCCCTGAAACTTACATGTTACCGGCCATTTTCCTACGTTCCTGCAATGACTACCTGCAGGGCTTCAAACTCTCTGGCTTGACGAACGTTCACAGTGTCCTCGCCCGACATGTTAGCAGCCAATTTACATGATGAAAAAAAGGAATTAAAAACAGTTCTGGAATTTGTTGGTCAACTAGTTGTTTTTCATCTAACCTCACATCGCATCGGCCAACAAAAAAAGCCTTAAAAAGTGACTGACATCGCAACCAAAATGGCTACCGAGGACACGCAAGGAATGCATATTTGATGATTGGTGGATGCTTGAAATTAGCATGCTTATTTATAGTTTAAACTGATACAATTAGCACGATTTTTTTGTAAAATTTTAGGCGATAATTTGGGCTGATAGCTTTAAAATGTATGGCAGTTGAGCAATGCAACAGTGTAAAGACGATCTAGGGATTTTTGGTCCGGTAACGTTCGACAAACAGTGACAGTGGTCGTACATGGAAGAAAAAGTTGGCTCGCTGATTGCTATTTGTCATCATCATCTCCTTATCGAAATTATTAAAAAGCCAGTGATTTCTAATGCGAGTGAATCGTAATTGATGTGGTCAGGAAGTGGAATTTAGTGCTTTCCATAGAATAGCAGAGATAAGTATCGGTACCGGCGGCGCCATGTCGGACGAAGCCTACCCAAAGACACTGTATGTGGGCAATCTGGACATTTCTGTGCAGGAAGACCTGTTGTGCGCTTTGTTTTCGCAAATCGGGCCGGTCAAAGGATGCAAGATTATTAGAGAACCCGGAAACGATCCGTACGCTTTCGTTGAATTCACTAATCATCAGTCTGCATCAACCGCATTGATTGCCATGAACAAGCGTGTGTTTCTTGACAAGGAAATGAAAGTTAACTGGGCCACCAGCCCGGGAAACCAACCGAAAACAGATACCTCGAACCATCATCACATATTCGTCGGTGATCTATCGCCAGAAATTGAGACTGACACCCTAAGAGAGGCCTTTGCTCCGTTTGGAGAGATTTCCAACTGTCGAATTGTGAGGGATCCCCAAACACTGAAATCGAAAGGCTACGCCTTTGTCTCATTCGTGAAAAAAGCTGAAGCTGAGAACGCAATCCAGGCCATGAATGGCCAGTGGTTGGGATCCCGATCTATCCGCACCAATTGGTCGACCAGAAAACCGCCACCCCCTAGGGCAGAAAAGCCCAATCAAAGCAAAAAGCAAATCACATTCGACGAGGTCTACAACCAAACCTCGCCAACCAACACCACAGTCTATTGTGGCGGCTTTGCAAGTGGCTTGACTGATGATCTCGTTACTAAAACGTTCTCTCGTTTCGGAGCGATCCAGGATATTAGAGTATTCAAAGACAAGGGGTATGCGTTCATCAAGTTCGTGTCAAAGGAGAGCGCAACCCATGCGATCGAGAACATCCACAATACGGAAATCAATGGGCATACAGTGAAATGCTTTTGGGGCAAGGAAAACGGAGGACTAGGCCCTGATGTGAACGCCCTTAGTGCGACAGGAGCTGCTGTGTCCCAGGCTCCGCCTTACTCCTATGGATATGGAACTCAATATTGGTATCCTCAATCTGGCGGTTATCCGCCCGGCACTGCAGGATACATGCAGGCTGGCTATCCCTATCAGCAACAGTACCAATATCCAGGCGGGCAGCAGTATTGCATGGTCCCCCCACAGGGCCAATGGTCCGGACAGGCCGGACAGCAGCCCAGCATGGGTGTCATGTACAAGTACCCATCTCAGTGAACTAACTTACCAACCGAAATCCACACGTGCTGCAGAACTCTTCGAACTGTTTTAGCAGTGTATTAATAATATAGACTTTGAAGTTTGCTAATTTATCAATACATTCATTTAGTTATATCACACATCTGAGTTGAAACCTTCAAGCGAGTTTCGTGAGTTCAATTTCTATAAAGATTGACTTACGGTTGATGTGCTGGCGCTAGTTGATTAAGAGGGTTCTAAAAACGGGAACTTGCTCGTTGTTCCCTACAGTCCCTTGTTGGAACTGAGGGCTTTCGTCCCAGGAGTACTGTGTATTCGCTTTTGGAAGTATGTTTCTAGGATTTCCTGTTAATCGTTGTGTGATAAAGCGACTCATTTCTCTATCGACCTCTTTAACTACGGTTTATTTCTGTAATAGTTCATTCTTAACTTGGGCTCTATGCATACAGTCAGCCTGACGATGTGAGTTTCCCACACTGTATGAATGTCCAGATTGTAGAGCATGTAAATTGGCTTGCGTAGTTTGCAGTTACTATACACTTATATTTTGTGGACACACCGTTTTGTACACATTTGGCAATGTTTGCCTGATGTGCAACCAGATGGTTTAAGCTAGCTAAGGAATCTAAAATTTGAAAGGATGATCAAACCGCGCTCGGTTTGACCAAATATTGAAATTTTGTAACGAAATGTATATTATTGATAGTTGTTAATAAAAACTAAGGTCTGGGAACTTTGTTGGTTTATTTCGCCCGAAATTCCTCTATTTCCAGTAACTGAATTAGGTGAGTATACGGCTGGCGACTTAAAATCCCAGTATGGCCCAAACTGGCAGCATTCATCGTGAAAAGAACTGAAATTGAAATTTCATGCGAAAATAATGTGGTTTGCAAGTCTGATTGATGATATCAAGAGCCATTAAATTGTCACATTGGGAGGATAGAACAACAAATATTGGAAAAATAAAAAATATATTATTAATAAACAACTATCCAAGGTCATTTTTCGAACCAATCATAACGCAAAGGATAAATTAAATATACAATTCAACTAAATGGAAAAACATAAATAAAAGAAGAAGGATGGTGATATCAAGTATATATCATTACCGGAAATTAACACAAAAATAAAAAATATATTCAAACCACATAATATCAACATAGCAGAAAAAACTAAAAACACCTTAGCAAATGATTGTTTCACAAAACTTAAACCTAGGATTGACAAGTTAGACACGCCTAATGTAATTTACAAAATAGACTGTTTGAATTGTGATTACACATACATAGGGCAAACAGGACAATATCTAAAGAAAAGAATATACGAACATAAGTATAGCCTAAGAAAAAATAACGAGAATGGTACAGCATTAGCACAGCATGCACAACAGAAGTTGCATAATTTTGATTTTGGTAACACAAAAATACTGATTAACGAGAGCAATTATAATAAGAGAAGAGTCCATGAAATGATACAGGTTAAAAAACTTAACAATGCTATGAATTTCAGATCGGATACCGACAATCTTAGCTCAGTATATCATACATTAATTAAATGAAATAAACATAGAATATTAACTAACA